CTTCACACATATATATATATATATATATATATATTTATGAGGACAATTTACCTATCGATCATATTCCCTCTGTTCCATATTATATGACAATAATTGACTAGATATTTGATTTTGTATAACACATATCATGACATTCGTAAAATTGCCATATCAAAATTGATACATAGTTATATTCTATGTTTAATAGGTCAATTTTGACCTGATTAGTGCAATATTACATCGTCAGTGCACATAACATAAACTTTTTTATATTTTTTTTATCTAATACTTAATCAATGGGAACAAGAAAGATGAAGAATTATATTAAAGCTTTTGAGGATCAAATGATGAATATATAGTTTTTTTTAAGAACTTTTATTTCTTAAAGATTTGCATATATGTTCCTGAGGTTCAAAAGTCTAGCCAGAGTTTGTTAAATCTAAATCCCTAAGAAAGGGAGGTGTATATCTTCATTGACTTTTCACTACTTAAAAGAAAGAAAAAAAATTAAGAATTAGCGACGACAGAAATACCATATATATAGCTAAAAAACAAAATCCTTCTTAATTCTACTTAGTGACAAAATATTAAACAATTTTGGTAGTGATTTGTTTCAACAAAGACTACTACTCCACAATTATTGTTTATGTACACTAGCACTACTACCAGCAATTATAATTGTTGTTGAATATGTTCCTTTAGCCGCAGTTACTAGTGACAAATACATTTTACCACTCTTTGTAAATATTCCTAAAGCCTATAGTGCTTTTGGATATAACGACAATTAACTAATATCAGTAAAGGCTTAATTAAGCACTGTTTGTTAATGTACATATTTAATTTATTGCCGCTAAAAAGTATTTTTCCATGAGCTTGTGTCTTTCTTTTGTTATGGAGAAGAGGAATGTGTTTAAAAAAATGCAGGGATTTAGGAAAGTAAATCCAGACCATTGGGAATTTGCTAATGAAGGTTTTCTGAGAGGGAAAAAGCATCTCTTGAGAACAATAAGGAGAAGAAAACCAAGTAATTTCATCAAGTCTTCGTCATCAATTAATAATCAAGGTATGGATTCTACTTCATCATCATCATCATCATGTGTTGAGTTGGGAAGGTTTGGATCATTTGATGGAGAAATCGATGAATTAAGACGCGACAAGCAGGTTCTCATGATTGAACTTGTTAAACTTAAACAGCATCAAAAGGCTACTAAATCACAACTTCAAGCTATGGAGCAAAAGCTTCAAGGGACAGAAATCAAACAAGAGCAAATAATGAGTTTTTTGGCTAAAGCATTACATAATCCAAATTTTGTGGAGCAAATAATGCAACAAAATGATAAAAGGAAACAACTTGAAGAAGCAATGAAGAAGAAGAGGAGGAGGCCAATTGATTATTATGAAGCTGGTCCTAGTAATATAATTAAGTTAGAACCTCAAGATCATGATATTATTAATAATGAATTTGATGATGATTTACAAGTGGCTATGAACATGTCACATGGGAACACATTAATCAATTTAGAAGAAGAAAATAATGAAGGATTTTGGGAGGATATGCTGAATGAGAATAGTAATGTTGAAGATGAGATTATGGCTTTGCTTGGTGTTAATAATGAACAAGAAGATGAACAACTTCATGTGGATATTTTCTCTGATTAATTAATTACTTGAATAAATTATCAGCCAATTTCTCTGGCTCATCATGATTTAAATTTTATGGATTGTGTTACTTGTTGATTAATTGGAGTTCGTACATTTAATCAAGGTTCAATGTTCTCTATTTATATTTTATTTCATATATTATTGGATTGGAGTGATTTTAATGAATCGGTATAACATAGTGAGGATTTATATAATTGATCTGATCAACATAGCTACATTACTATTATTGTCGATCAAATAAATCAATGCCAACTTTACCTTAGTACAAAGTATATATATGAGTTAACATATCTTCCCCATGGAACATCTAACTTAATCAAATTCATTTGTTGTGCATTGTTCTATTTAGCGTTGATGCTGTTTAATTAAATCATATTTAGGTACTTAATTGGTATTAATTATTGCTTTCTTTTTTTTAATGAAATTTCCATCTTCGCTATCATCGCAGTGTCGCCCTGTTAGTGTCCACATCGAGCTCCATCAGTTCCTATATATGCCTTAATTGTCCCCACCAATGTTTCCTTTTATACAAGTATGGCCAAGCATTGGCCCAATTAATTGGTTCCTGCACTTCACACTTCACACTTCACCTCCCCTTGTGTAATACTAGCACTTATTTATAATGTCCAAAATATGATACCAATTAATAAGGTTTGTGGAACGATATGTACTTTTTAATCTTAATAAGAGGCGTCCTATTCGAGTTCTCTGACGTGTCCAGAGTTGCTTTTCTTAGGAAGCATTTTCTAATGGAGAACTTTTTGACGCAAATCCAAATTTTAATATGAATATCTAATACCAAATGAAAAAAAAAACTAGAAAATTCTTTTTGCGTAATGCGTTAACTTCACAGGATTTTGTCTAGCTAGGTGATGATTTTAAGTAGAATTTTCATTGTGCCAATACCGTCTTTAAATTATTTATAGATAATAATAACTTATAAGAAAAAAAGTTAATTTCCGTTGCCGGGACTTGAACCCGGGTCTCTCGGGTGAGAGCCGAGTATCCTAACCAACTAGACTACAACGAAACTTGTATAGAATAATCAACAGTAGCTTCAACTCTTTTTGGAAGGCAATACTAAGGAGTGGGGGAGAATTTTCAGCTAAAATCTTGTTGGGTTGAATTCACTCTTGATAACTCTAGGAGAAATTAATTTAGACTTTACTACTACTTTCTCTATCCCAAATAAGTTTTCATGCTTCGCTAATTTAGTTAGTTTTCTGAGTTAAATTGAGTTAGACAAATTTTAATAGTTTAAAATTACGATTTAGATATTCAGAAATTATAATTTGTCGTCCTATCAATATGATAAAAAAAATATATATCTTTAATGTTAATCAAAGGACTTAATTTAAAAAGAAAAATATTTAAGTATTTTGAGATGAACAAAAGAAGACATCTACGTAAGAGGTTGTTAAATTAGGTCATCAGCTTAACTCACACCCTGAGGTCGTTTGGTTGGGAACTAGTTATGTAAAGGTTAATTATCACGTCCCATCACTATGCTATAAATGGTGGAATAACTTATCACAAACATGTCAACCAAACAAGATACCTAAATGATGAGGGTTACTTGTTAGTTATTCCTTAAGTCATGAAAAAAAGAATGCAACAAAATGATGAGTTCACTTTGAGTTGAATAACACAGAGAAATCTTGAAACAATCGACCCACCTCTTCACTGGCCTTGCTGCATTATTGCTTGTACCAGGAATACGAGATATGGCACAATTTTAAAAGAGGTGTGCAAAAATCTTAAAGACAGATATTATGCGAACCAAAGGTAATATTATGACGTTTGATATTACAAAAGAAGATAATGCTGCTGTTACCAACACTCAACAGAAACAAGAAGTTGTTGTTGATACAGAACGGAACATAATTCGTGAAGCCGAAACTAAATGCTATCTTGAAAAAACAGATGATGATCCTACTGTTTACTCTGAATGTGACAGAGGAGGTTTAGTTTATTATAGTTATGGAATTGGCTTCAATTGTGCAGTAGTTTTCGTTCATTTGTTTATATGGGAACGAATTGTCTTTCTCTTGAACCAACAGAAACCTTGTTTTTATTTCGTTTGCAGAGTTCTATGACTCAGTTAGTCCAGATATCAATGTTCAAATGAATGAACTTATGAGTGTTGGAAATGCTTTTTGACGAAAAAATGGAAATGAATTCACATATAAGAAATACTTCAAGTCATCTCAGGTCAACTAGAGGTGCCAAGTCGATCAGAAAATGCAGGGAAGAAACGCAATCATAAGAGAACTGAGCCCTCAAAACAGGCATTTAATGAATCGCAGATTAACGATGCAGCTCATTCAACCATAATGAGTATATGAGGATTATGCAATGAAGGTGGGGAATAACCAATATATGCCGAAGAAGTTTTTGAAATGTTGGCTGAAAGTCCTACAAAATTTACTTATTATGAACAAATGAAAGCCGGTATTGTTGGAACAGGAGTTGTGAAGTCGTGTAACACAGAACTGACCGATGCAGTTTAAATCAGGAAATGATGTGTTTCTTCTTTTTCGCTCAATTCTTCGTATAGAGATGGAACAATGCAAGGATCTGATGAGAGGCGCGTAGGGATTACAGCTCTAAACTTCTTGTCATTGAAGACTCTGATGTGCAAATTTTACGAAAAAAAGCAGAACATGAACAGAAAAATCACAAACAAGCATCGAACAACATGAACCAGAAATTAGCATACAAAGGTTCAGTGTTGAATCGAATTCAGAGTGCATAGAAAGTCTCCATAGGAGCACAGAGTTGAAAGATGAATACTTTTCTCATGATCAAACGATTCCTTGGTAATCATAATTCCAATAAAAATTGGTTCTTTCTTTTTCTTATAAATTTAAAGAAAGAGAGTACAATTTCATAAACTAATAATCAATTTCTTGTTTGTTACATTGATAAGTCAAACAAATGCTAAAAAATAGAAGAACAATAACATGGAAATTGATAAGAAAAGAATAAATTATGAATAGTAATTAATGATTTTGAGGTTCTAATTAATTAAATCCTATCAAACATTCATCATCATTTTAACAAATTCATCAAAGTTGACTTGACCATCACCATCCAAATCTGCTTCTTTAATCATCTGTTCAACTTCTTCATCTGTTAATTTCTCCCCAAGATTTATCATCACATGCCTTAGCTGCACATGATACAAAAATATTAAAATATTTTAATAATTTCTTCCTATTCCAGTTTTCTCACAATTGGTTCGTTAAAATATTTTCTTTAACAAAGAAAAATAAATAAATTCTATAAATTGCATTTCAAATTTATTGTCTTTTCGCCGCCCCTAATACTACTAACATTGTGAAACCTACCCACTATGGCAAACTTTCTCTAGATTACGTATAAATGTTTTTGGGACTTTGAAAATTAAAGAAGGTCAAAAAGAGCAAGTGCAATTGGTCAGTGTGAACTATGGAAAAATTCGTTGGACAAAAAGTTTGGTCTAGTGAGATACCCTAATTAAAACTTTGGATTTAAAACAGCTGTATAAATAAGATTATTTTATTTATACTATATAGTAGTAATGACAGATCAAACTCACATGTGAACCCTTTCCACAAAACCCTAGCAGTTGTTACGATGTCAAGAATTAATTTATATTTTTACCATCCAATGAGCATATTGTAACATTTTAAATTTAATTATAATGAAACTTTATGTTTTTGATTGGCCCTCGTCAACAATATGAGTACTGGCCGTACATGATTGACTTATAAACTGTACTAATTATTCAACATGCACATTTTTTAATTATATATTTTTTCTTTTAATGTAATTTTGCAAATTGACAAGATTAGTTAAATCTACATATGTTGTGATCCAAATGATAACAAATTTGTGATATTTCATTAACAAGTGATAAGAACAGAATTAGCACTATTCAGTTGAATAGAAGTAATAAAGTAAACACTCGAAGAAATCAAAAGAATTATAACGTACAAAAGAAATAATCAATAATGCATCCATGATCTAGTATCAATAGGTTCAAAATGATTATGATTTGATTATGTGTTTTTCGATTATGCTTCTACATTTGTATGCATATATGCTAAAAGTATTTGTATATAATCTAAACAAATACCTCGTTAGCAGATATGTAACCATTTTGATCTTTGTCAAACACCTTGAAAGCCTCTTTAAGTTCCTCCTCTGCATCAGTATCCTGTTTCATAAAGAAACAAAAGTTGCCATAATTTCTTATATTACTCATGTATTCTTTAAAATATTGTCATGTTACATTCTTTAAAATTACTCTACTTTTATAGGTTGTTGATTTTTTTACCTTCATTTTCTTGGCCATAAGGTTCAAGAATTCAGTGAATTCAATGGTTCCATTGCCATCAGAATCAACTTCAGTTATCATATCCTGCAGTTCTTCCTCTGTTGGATTTTGATCCAATGACCTTATTACTGTTGCTAATTCTTCTACCGTTATGCAACCTGCAGAGTCAAAATTTTAACTTTATGAGTTCAAAATATAAAAATATCGACTATAAGTGATTGTAACTGTATTCTAAATCTAATATATTCAAATAAACTTACTCTATTTAATTAAGTAAAAGTTACTAGATTCGTCCGTACCCTTTTAACATACTAATATATCATTCAAAAATAATTTGAAAAAAGACTAGTAATTACCATCTCCATCTCTGTCAAACAGACTGAAGGCTTCTTGCAATTCAACAATTTGATCATTGTTCAATACATCTCCCATGATTATGATTATTTTTGTATTTTGTACCTCCAAAGGACAGCTTGAAACAGAGAGGAAGAGTGTAGAATGAGAAAATAAAGAAAGTTGAGTATAGCTCAATCCTCCTGGCTGGGCTATATGTAGAGAATTTTTTATTTATTTTTTAATGTGACATAAGGGGTTTACTAATAAATGTGATATCCTAATGAAAAGAAAATTAAAAAAAAAAAGAGAGTCAAAACGTGAGAAAAAGTCTATTATAAGTACAAATATATAAAATGGTAGGTACTAATTAGAAAGGGTCCATATACTTATATTATAAGATATGTATTAGTAGAGCACTTAGCAGAGTCAAAAATGTAGAGTTAGTGGTGGGATTAGGTGGTGTTGTAAGTCATGACTTTGCCACCCTCGCACCATGACCTGACCATATAATATTTCCACATTTTCCATGCTACTTTCTTGAATATTCCTCCCCCACCCCCACCCCACCCCACCCCTCCATGGGTGTCTCGTTACGATATAATTAGTGGCAGAGTTATACTTGTTCAAAAAATTTCGATTGATATTTCTTCGCTAAAACATTATACAAATCGGATTGTAACAAAAATAATGAATATATATGCACATTAAAAAAGTGGTGTTAAGGTGTTTGTTTAATTTAGTTAATTGTAGTTAGATGCAATATTATTATAAGATTTAGCGATATTTATAAAAGAGTGTTAAAATAATTATTTCTAGTAATTACCTCTAAAAAGCATAAATAGCGACAATTAGCTTAGTGTTATTAATTAATTGCTGATAAATGTCATTTTTTATTAAGTAAAACATGTATTTGAATATACATTAATATGTTGAGTCTCTTTAGCTTTATTGTGCATTTATAATTTTTACTCGATGAAAATTTTAGCTCTATCGCTAATAAAAATGTTAAGAGTAAAAGAAAAAACAAATTTTCTTTTTCTTGGGAGAAAGATAATAAAGAAAAGGAAAAATAGTAATAGTGATAGTGCCAAGTAAATAAACAGCTGGATTGTTAGATGAGGAGGGGACAGAGAGCATTGAAAGAGAAGACTGAAGAGAGGGTATGGGGAGGTGTGTACAGTGAACTCAAATAAATTTATTCTATGTCAAGCAGATAAATGCTGCCTTTGGTTGCACCAAGTTGTTCAATTTTAGTCACTTGTGATTGGCTTAAATTAAATATAATACTACTCCCTCTTGAATCAAATTTTTACTTAGCTTGTCTATTTTTTTGAAATGTTAAATTTATTTCAAATATAGATGTAATCAATACTTTTTATGTTTGTTTACTTCCTTCCTATTGACCCAATAATTTAACGTTTGTATCTATTTATTTATTTTCAAACTCATATATTCATGATAGATTTTAACTTGTTTTCCTTCTAGTTTTTAAAAGTTAAAGGTAAAATTTTATTGATTTGAAAATTTTTTAGTTTTTTTTTTCTGAAACAATTTGTTTCCGACATTATAGAAAAGTCAACGGGAAAAAATATTAGATCGAAAATTTTTTGGTAGTAATTTGGAATTTTTTAACCTTGTCAGATTTGAACGAAATCGGAGTCAGTGTGGTGTAGAAAAATCTGGTAATAAATATGAAGTCTAATTATGAATTTTGACAATATGCATAGATAGGTAAGACGTTAAGAAAATCGTACGATTTTACAGAATCAAATTCGAGCGAGCCCGAAATTGATCTTATTATGAAACATATATTTTCTAAGAATCATAGGTTGAAGGTGTGTTGTGAAATGAGGGTTTCGAACTCAAATTCCGAGGTTCTGTCTCCATGCAAGCCACTAGGGTGGGGTCGTTGTGGCTGGACGGGATCCTTCGTAGCAGGGCAAACGCGACTTGAGTCGGGAATAAACCCCAAAATATCATTATTCTATAAGTTTTGACTTTGAGAGCTAAGACACGAACCCAGGTGTTTTCTTGAAGGTTTTCGATGATTTTTTATGCTAAAGACCAAGAACAAGTGGAAACAATTCGGAAAGGGAAGAATCACGTTTCTTAAGCGATTCAAGCTTTGTTCGAGGTAGATATTGGTTGTGATTTCATGTGTGTGATATATGTTTGTTCGTGCTTCATTATATTGCATGTATGTGTGTGAATGTTGCATTATTGATCACACTAATAGTAAATGAGTATGAACAAATAATTATGTGTCATGCATCACTCTTAATTGTATGAGTGTGAGAATGTACATTGTGATTGTGGTATGTTGAATGGAGTGAGTGTCACATTCCGACAAACTAAATGAGAGAAGATGTCACGTACCGACAAAAATATTGAAACATGTATCACAATCCGACACACTAACTTGAAAAGGGTGTCACGATCCGGTAAACTAACTGTTTGAGTATGGGTTCTTTAAGAGGACTAATGACTTGTTATACATATGCGTATTATTGAAAATGTGAAATTGAACATTGATCTTGAATTGATATCAATATTGTATATGTTCGGTATATGCATGTTATGGTATTGTAAAGACTTACTTGTGTTGCACTTAATGGGATAGCCACGTGATATTACAAATACACTGTAGTTGTGTACTGATACTGCACTTGCTCTTTCTTTGATGAGTGCAAGACATCTTCAGGTGGCTATTGACAAACCTCATTTAGAAGATCAGTGATCGTCATTGAATTCAAGGGTGAACCAATTCTTTCACGCTGCAATGAGTTCTCTTTTTGGTTTAGTCCATTTGCTTCAGACTTAGACTAGTTCTTTTGATGATTCTCTTGTTAGTTGGGTTGTACCCACTTTCTTAGACATGTTGGTTAGAGTTTTGGTACATTGACTTTCAGGTTCTAAGGAATATTTTCGCATTGATTTTAGTTCTTTTATTTTATTACACTTTCAGAGTTTATGGGAACTCATTAATATTGATTTAGTTATTTAAATATGCTTTCGTAGCTTTAAATTGCTTAGTTTGGTTGTAGTAATGGTTCTCCCACTAGAGAGCTAGTGTGAGTGTCACTCACGATAGTGTGAGTCGTGACACTTTCATGGCTAGTGATTCTCCAAATGAGAAGAATGTTTATTTTTGTTGCTCAGAAAACGGCAAGAAATTACCACTGTAATTCTCGATATTATCAGTCCTTCAAGTTATGAAATTCAAAAATGCAACAACTTTGACAAACAAAAGAGAAAGATAGTATGCAATTTGTGGCAACTGGAAAGAGGGTTTATGCAATAATTGTGATAAACCTTAACGAGGAAGAAGCTGAGAAAATGATTTTCTTTTATCGAATTCAAATTGTTGATGTATCTAATACATTCTTGAGTTAAGATTATATATATCTATTTTTTTATTAGTGTATATAATTAAATATATACATGTATCTAAATAGATATACACACGTATTGTAGATTTATGCATGTATATGTCACATTATTGATGTATCCGACATATTATTGAGTTAAGAGTATATATTTTTAAGTTTTTATCAGTGTATTTGATTAACTGTATATGTATCTAAATAGTAGTTTGTGAACCTGAGTAAAAAAATCTACACTTTGTTGAATCGCCCAAAAAAGAGAAGTATTTTGATTTTTTTAAGAGTAGTGATATGTCATATCTTGCGAACATAATTTTCTCCTTAATTAATGGTTTTGGTCATATTTTATAACTACACACACTCCTTAATTAAAGACTTTCCATTATATCCCTTATAAGTGTATATGTATCTAAATAATTGTTCGTGAACTTTGATCAAGAAATTTACACTTTGTTGAATCGCCCAAAAAGAGAAGTATTTTAATTTTCTTTTTAAAGAGTTGTGATATGTCATATCTTGCAAACATGATTTTCGGTCATATTTCATAATTAGACACACTCCTTAATTAAAGACTTTCAATTATATCCCTTAAGTAGACACAATAACTGATACGAGATACATATATTAAAAGAGACAATTTACATGTATCTGAGTAATATGATAAGTAGTATAATATTGCAAACTAGTGTAAATCTAAGTAATTAGATCCTAAAATAGAATGATTACACAAGTTACACTGTTATGAAGCATACATTTTTCATAAAAAACTATTACTTATGTCCAATTTATGTGGCACTTTCATTTTTAAGAATCAAAGATTTTAAGTTTAATCAGAAATATGCGCATGGAATTTTCAATATCTTGAAATGAAGTTTATATATTTATAAATAACATAAAAGTATTATAAATTTCAATAATTAATAATTTAAAATTTTATGATAAAAAATAGGCTTACTTGAATTTCAAAATTTTGAAAATGTCAATTAAGTTAGGACGAAAGAAGTATCTTTCTTTTTAAAATGCTTGCATAAGGAAATGCGACAGAATGATTTTATAAAGGAAGCTATAGTTGAATGTGTAATCTTTTTGTAAGCCTTATGGTCTCACTCAAATTCCTTGAGAGGGAAATAAGAATTTTTGAGCTAAAACTAAGACAACTTCCAAATTTTACTAGAACGTTATCTGTCTAATTTATGTTTAAAAAAATATAATTTCTATTATCTAAATAAATTCAAATTTATGAGTATAAATTCTTTCATAAACATAAAATAAATCTATTTTGATGTTAAATTACTTTTAAATATTAAGGTGACATTCTTAAAAAGATTTTAAAAAAAAGTGAAGTACATAATTAAGATGAACAAGCAGTTCATATATATATATATATATATATATATATATATATATATATAATAA